CTCCCTTTTGTTACGAAATTCGGAATACAATATTGCCCCCCGCTACCGAGCGCCCAAAGTTGGGGAGCACCGATCCTCCCCGATGAGTGCGCCCTGCGGGCCTGGCCTGGACAGGAGCCCCAGCGGAGGCCGTACCAATAAAGCTTCGGACCCCTCCGTCGCCGATCGGCGCTTTGGGTGCCCGTGCCCCCAAGGCGCGCTGACTGTGCGCCGTCCCAAGAGGACGAACAAAACGGAATAAACATGAACTTTTGGAGGTCCACACGGATTTCTTGGATCTCCCTGGCGCGCAGAGCGCGCCAGGGGCGGCGCCGGATGCGCAGCCAGGGGGCCAGAAGGCACCAGCGCCGATCCAAGGAATGCGCGCGGACCTCTGAAAGTTACTGTTCATGCCATTTTCCCTGTTCGAACCCCGCCGGGAAATCTGGAGACCGTGCGCGCGATGACACGGCGTAGCCGAGCAAGAGCGGGCGGGGCCCAGGTGCGATCCGTCACCGAGCAGCAGCCCCAGCGAGGTGCGCTGGGCTCACCCACGGGGAGCCGCGCCCAGGAAGCCGAAGACAGCCGAGCGACGAAAAGGAACGGGCCTCACGCGGGATGGCACAGCGACCCTGCGCGGCAGCTGACGCGGGCCGCCAACGCGGAACGCTGCACTGGAAACGAGGGCGCTTGCGCGCGGCCTTACGCGGGCAACTTTCTCGCGAATGCCCGTGCAGTGGAACCAGGTTTGCGAGGCGGGGATGTGTCCATAATATCCACCGCCTGGGAACCGACGTCCTGGTGCCCCAGCGGGCGGTGGACATGGATGTGCTTCGGCCCCTGTGGTCCATTGAATGTGTCCATATTCTCCACCGCCTGCCGAGGCTCCGAAAGCTGACCCTCCAGGCGGTGGTCATGTAGAACTTCCCGCCTCGGACGTTCTGTGCCTCGCTCACCTGCGGCTGGACTCGGGCACTGAGCGCACCCTGGGGGCCGAACGGCCGGATGTGCGTGCGACACGGGCGCTGGGCACTGGCCGCAGACGGGGTGGACGGGTGTGGAGGGCAGCTGCTTGGGTACGGTCGGGGCTCGAACGGATCTGGAGATGCGACCTCGGCGCTCATCTGACGGGACTGCGGAGCCAAACCTGGCCTCGCCCGCCCCCCCCCACGCTGACTCAGAACCAGAGGCGTGTAGATACGCGATGTGACCCGTCTGCGTGCGCGTTTGTGCGTTTGTGTGCTTCCGTGCGCCACTTCAACGACGCTGGGTGGAATTAACGCTGGCGTGACTGTCTTCGTTCTATCGCAACTCTGGACATGTGTGTGCCACTTTGGTTTCTTGCGCTGCGCACCCCGCTTCGCCAATTGAATAACAACGTTTGGTTGCTATGATTCATTGCGACACTTCGTAGGGGTACAAGAAGGTACCGATACCGTTATTCCCAGGACCTCCTCATGGGTGCATTATGACCTAGATTTCGGGGTGAATCCAGCCGTGGTGACGATGGGCCGGTAGCGGTACTGTTAGATTTTCTTCCTCTGAGTTCGACGCAAAGGCCCACTTGGAAGCCACACGTGTGTACACTACGGTATGCGGGTCTTTGTACAACACATTATGTGCACATCTTGTTGAGCGTCTCATGCTTTCGAACCTACTTTGCGCGGTGGCGACTGTGAACATAGCTCCATGGTCAGGTTCCAGTATCCGAATACTCGGAGGGCTGAACCTGTCCTATCGCCCCGAAGCTTTCGCACTCCCCGCGGGCGCCGTCCACGCATAGCCGACGGCAACTGCTGGGTTGATGCACGCGCCCGATATGCCGAAGGCGGCATCTGCGCCTGGCCCTCCCGTTATCATTGCCTTGGGAGGCAAGTGCAAAGAGCAGCGGCAGAGAAGTGGAATGCGGACGTAGCGGGGAGAGGCGTGTGAGACGCAGGGACAAGTCCCTGGGGAAGATGCAGTTCAGAGGGCACACAGAGACCACCGCCACCGAGAGCCCATCGGGGGGAGGGGGCGAGAGAGACGCTCGAACACAACACCTGCTCTCATGGTAGCGCGTCCGCTGTCTCGAAGAGCAGCTGCGGGTCTTGTGACTGGCAAGCATCCCTGCGACCCTCGCCCAAGCAGGCTGCGCTGGCAAACGCATGCGCGCATCCAGAGGCAGTGAAGCACTGACAACCATTTGAGCAACGGGCATCAGCCGTCGTAACGTTCCCCCTGCAACTGCTCCACACTCGAATCGGCTCTTCTTCTCGCAGACACCGCTGACTGTGAGTATCGTGTGTGGGTTTGAAAAAAGCACGCTTTGCTCAATCGTGCTTCCACCGAGCTCTGTACAAGTGCGGCGGCGCCGGGGGGGGAGGATGGCCGCCACGGCTTGCGGTGCATCCGAGGGTCCCCAACGTAACAAATGAACAAACTATCATCTCCGCACAAACTCCCAGGTAACGGAAAGAGCGAGGTACGAGTGATGACGTTGAGTTGGTGCGAAGCCATCTAGGGAGGGGTCCATGTGAGGGGCGAGGGGGGATCGCAGGGTTGACAATGGCCAGTTTCGGGTGTTGCCTCTGGTTCTTGCATGTGTTTCGGGTTCCCCCCAAAGACGGCCCAAGAGAGGTCCAAGAGAACCCAAGACCGTCCAAGACGGCCCAAGAGGCCCCCAAGAGGCGCCCAAGGGGCGTCCCAAGAGGGCCCCAAGAGGCCAAACTCATTGATTTCCCTAGGGGAACTTACATGTTTGGCATGTGCGGCTTTTCGGCTTTCACGGCGTTGACGACGGCCCAAGCGGCCACCAAGACCGCCCCGAGACGGCCCAAGAGGCTCCCAAGAGGCCCCCAAAACTGTCCAAAAGGGCCCCCAGACGGCCCAAGAGGCGCCCAAGACGGCCCAAGAGGGCCCCAAGACGGCCCCAAGGGGGGAACCACGAACCGAAAAGTCTAGCCTTTTGCCCGAAGAAGCCCCCAGGATGCCCCAAGAGCCCCCCAAGAAGCCCCAAGAGGCCCCCAAGAGGTTCCCAAGAGGCCTCCAAAAGGGCTCCAAAAGAGCTCCAATAGGACTCCCAAGAAGGCCCAGAGACGCCAAATAAGGAGCGATCGGTAACGCAAAAAGCTCTTCACACCAAGGCTCCCAAGAGCGAACGGTGACGTAAACAAGCTGATAAGACCAATGCTCCCAGCAGAGAGCGGTGACGTAACAAGTTCCTGACACCAAGGCCCAGCCAAGGCTCAGGAACGGGCGGCAACGCAACACTCTCTGAACACCAAGGCTCCCAAGAGCGAGGGGTGACGGAATAAGCTCTCAACGCCAAGACTCCCAAAACGAACGGTGGTGTGAGTAATTTCGGTGTCTGTTCTGAAGCGCTCTTTCCGATTCCGTGCAGGGCCAGGTCCACAGGCTCCAGGCTGTCCTCGTGTACCGCCTCCTCGTGCTCTTCCTCGGCGGCAACCAATAGCACCGAAGAGCGATCGAATCGCGGCAGGCCCTCCCTGGTGCCTGCCGCAGTTGCGCATCCAACTGACAGGGCTAGCAGTCCATCAACATCGTCCTCCACGGCGCTTGGAGGCTACTACCGTGCTGCCATGTACAATGCTCCTCCTGTGGCACTGCGCAACATTAGCTCACCCTGGTTGGCCGTGTCCGAAGCAATGCACATGCAGTTCGATTCCCATGAGTGCACTTCGAGATGTTAGGTGTAGAGCTCGATGTTGTGGCTGCACTGTCGATGGCCGTCAGCGCAAGCACGCTGCTGAGACCACAGCCGATGGCCTTGTGATATGCTGTCGCATCGCATGTTAAGAGGCACCGCTGTCGCATGTTAATAGACTCGATGATGTGGAGATGCAGAAAACGATGCTTCGCTCGACTGAACTCGCATTGCGGAATCTCGCTGTTTGCGTATGAGCATCCGGCTAGACACTCTCATGGTCCTGGCCACCCTGTTCCTCCTTCCTCCCTCTTCTCTGTCAGGGCTTCCCTCAATTGCCACCATGTCCACATAAGGGAAGATACGAAGAGAAGAGTCCAACCCCTCCCGATTCCACCCCCAAGAATTCAACGTCGTGATGTGTTCGTACCGTGGATCTGTGGACACATCGACCCGCGTTATGAGGACGCTTGTTCGTCCAATATGTATTGGCTGCCGGTCTGAAACGGACACCCTCAAGCGCGCACTGAAGAAGAACCAGCCGTGACTCTGGGCATCTGGGTCCTCAGGAGGACATACAGATGAGAAGGAGGGGGGGATGTGCGCGAAGCAGGTACAACCAGGCGGAGCACGAAGGAGCGATCGGCGAGAGGAACAGGGGTACCGGTAGGTGAGACGCAGTCGGTCCATGAAGGGAGATCGCTCTCTCTCTCTCTCTCTCTCTCTCTCTCTCTCTCTCTTTTGATTAACGAAAGATGGCTGGCCGCCTGGGCCCCACCACCACCCCAAACGGCAATCATAAACAGGGCGTCGCCCCACCGAAACAGCAACGGTGGTGCGCCTCCTATGATTTGCGGCATCGGTTGCGCAGTGGCTCGCGACATCCATGGCTTGCACCACTGTGTTGCACACTCGGCTGCCGACATTCAAACGACCTTATGTTGTTTGCAACATTGGTTGCGCATTTGGCTAACGGAAATAAGACAGCCTGCCATAGGGCCTCCGATCGCCAAACTATCGGTCCAAGAGGCCTTCACGCCGTCCAGATTGCTCAGGAGGCCACCAAGACGCCCCAAGAAGCCTCCAAGAGCACCCCCGAGAAGCGCCCCACAAGGCACAATTCTCTGATTGCCCTGTGGGAGTTCTCGCCTTTTCTGGTCCCCTCCGCTCCAAGAACGACCAAGAGGCCCCAAAGATCGCCCCAAGAGGCCTCCAAAAGGGGCCCCAAAACAGCCCAAGGGGACCCCAAGGCACCCCACAACGCCTCCAAGACGGCCCAACAGGCGCCCAATACGGCTCCAAGAGTGCACAGAGGCCCCCAAGAGGTTCCCAAGAGGCCCCAGAATTCCTCCCCAACAACCGCATCAGGGTGCAGGTTCGCGCGGACGTCCTGGACGACCACCTCGCGGGCAAGGAGGCGAGCGCCAAGGTCGCACGGGTGTGGCACGTGAACACGGGCAACATGGCGATCCACTCCCCAGCGTCGGTCGAAGACTGCATCTTCGAGCGCCTGACGGTGCTCGAGAGTCTGTACCAGATGGCGCTGAAGACGGACCAGGCTCCTCCTGCCCCACCGGGGGGGCCTCACTGTGGTGAACTTCTTCCGCCTCCAGGCCTGGAACGAGTTCACGGCCGACTACGAGGAGAAATCACTGAGGACTGGCGCCGACGACGTTCAGAGCCCGACCGTCACTCGCCGGCCGTCCCGCACGACTCGTCTGCCCAGGGAGCCAGAGCTCCGCAGCGGGATCGGGGACATCGGCCTGAGCGTGCGCGAGAACCTGGCAGACTTCCCGACGTGGTGCGACGAGGTCCTGCGCCTCCTGGTGGAGGAGCGCGGCCTGCAGGACGAGAAGCTCGACGAGGAGCACGCGGAGACGTAGAAGGACATATTCGACAAGGCCCCGACCATCTCGGTGGACGAGGGCCAGGGTGTGGAGGACGGTGATGATGGGCCTGTTTTCCACCACCACCACCATAACTTGGAGGTGGGAAGGAGGAGGACGAGGAGGAGGACGAGGAGGAGGAGGAGGAGGAAGAGGAGGAGGAGGTGGAGGAGGACCCCCTCCCCCTCCAACTTATGGTGGTGGTGGTGGAAAACAGGCCCATCAGGTGACATGTCGGTGGGGAGCTGGCACGCGCCTACCTCCCGTGCCTCGGGGTCGCGCTCGATCCCCCGCGGCGTCTGAGCGCCTCGGCGTCGTGCTGGGCCGCCGGCGTTCCGCCTGCCCTCTACATTTAGGTGATTTGCGCGACGATCCTGTGCTTCTGGACATGGTGCACAAATATAGAGTTGAGGCAACATCTGAATTGTGGGACGGTTGATTCGAACATTACTGCCTCACTCCGCTGCCAATTGTGAACGAGCTTGCTCGAGGATCGCGCCAGGGGCGCGCGAGAGGAAAAGAAACAAACCCGCTCTCTCTCTCTCTCTCTCTCTTTCTCAGGGCCCGAGGGCCTATGGTCGAGCTCGGGCATTGACACCTCTCGAGGCCCCAAGAGCCCCCTCAAGAGGCGTCCGCGAGGTCCCGAGAAGCATATCATCGAGCCAGGCTTGTGGCGGCCCTCCATCCTGCGACGACTGGCTGACCGAGGGCGAGAGGCTGGGCTTCGTGATGGGCGAAGTCTACACCGACGGCAGCCTCAGACAAGCGGGATGGAGCTTCATGTGAGCAGGGACCGACCGTCCTGGCTTTTCGATCGGCCTACCACGACATTTTCTTGGAACCCAGAAATGTTCTAAGAACAAGAATAATGTTCTTAGAACATAAGCCCGACGTGTTAAAACAAGACAGTCCCAGCCAGAGCTGTTCTAAGAACATGTCGTGCAGACCACAAAAGGTTCTTAGAACATTCTTTGGTGAGCCTATAGGCACGCCAGGATGCTTCGCCACTGCTTGAGATGGAGCTTCATCACCATCCAGGGGAGCTGCGAGTTGCAGTCGGCCCGCCTCGGGCCGCTGCCTGGCAAGCAGCGGGCTCAGCGCAGAACTGCGCGCCGAGCTGCACGCGATACTCTAGGCCCTTCTCTGCGAGGCGGGGACTTCTCATACAGATCCGCCGCCAGGGAACCGACGTCCTGGTGCCCCAACAGGCGGCGGACGTGGCTATATTTCGGCCTCTGGGGGCCCGATAATGTCCATATCCACCGCCTGCGGAAGCTCAGAAAACTGACCCTCCAGGCCGCGGTCATGTATAAATTCCCGCCTCGGATTCTTGTGGCGTGCTCACCCGTGACGCTGGGAATCTGCTAATCCGGGTCAACCAGACCTGGGTCAGCAAGAAAACCAAAAACTGCAACGCAGGGCTTCGCAAACCCGCGGCCGCCTCGCGGCCACGAGCGGCTCGCAAACCTGGGTCAGCCAGAGGGGGTCTTCGCAGGATCCTGCAGGATCCGGTGTCCTGGCTGACCCCCGTCTGCATGGACCCCCGTCTCGAGGCTCCCGGTGGCGGGTCTTCACAGACTGCCCGGGCGTCGTCGACGGACTTCTCCAGGCAGAGGGCGCCGAGGCGCGGAGCGCTGCCGGGCTGCGATCGCCGACATCGGCGGGCTGAGCCCTGGCACCGTGCTGACTGCTAGAGGGCAGACCCATTGATGGGCCTCTTGTCCATCACCACCACCATAAGCTAGAGTGGGAGGGGGTCCTCCTCCCCCCCTCCTCCTCTTCCTTCTCCTCTTCGTCCTCCTCCTCCTCCTGCCCCCCTCCAACTTATGGTGGCGGTGGAAGTCATGCCACGCGGGCCGAACGACAAGAGACCGGGCCGGCGCGCTGGAAGGCAACAAGTTGCCAGACCATTCCGCTAAGGCAGGGGTTGGATACCATGCCCACCCTGTCTGGTATAGGGACAAGTGTATTCAGAGAAATAAGCTCGTCTCGGACATTCAGGCATGCGCCGCCTACGTAAGAGTGCTAGGTAGAGCGGTAATCGACACGGAAGAGGTCTCGTTTCGGCCGCAGGAGTCGAACCCACCCGAACCCACCCCAACTCCTTCTTGGGTAGAGGAAGAAAAACTGCATAAGCATACTCTTTCGACGGTCCGCGCGGATTTCTTGGGTTTGCGCCGTGCCCCCTCTCATTGGCGCGCGGAGCGCGCCAGGGGCGGCGCCGGAGGCGCCGCCAGGGATGCCCAGCGCCGATCCAAGAAGTCCACGTGGAGAGTCGAAACTTTCTGCTTCTTTTCTTTACGAACGGTTTCGCCGTAGCGACCCCTCATCTTCCCCGGCAACACGTGCAGCGCGTCTAAAGCAAGGTGGCGTTACTGTCAGTTCAAAGAGGAAACCAACATGCGTATACACTGGGAGAGACCTGTCTCCAGGGCGATCGCCTCTGTTTGAAAAGAGGACGCTGCACGCCCCAAAAACTTTGCACCGCACGCTACCTCAACCAAGGTTGCGCTCTTGCCTTGGCTGGTCTGGACAACCCTATACAATATCCAGCCCACTGCGCCTTTGCCCGCGCGCCAACCGCCGTCTGTCTGCAGCTGGAAAAGGGCGTCGGGGCCAAGTTGCTGCGCAGGTGCGTTTTCACGATAGGCGTCCTGCTCGGCATCGAGAGCCATGTTCGCCAAGTGGTCCGCTGGGACGTTGTATTCCCGTTCCCGCCATGGTATAAGTGATGAAGTATCAGCACTAGCCCTAACTCACTTCGCGTACAGCTCCGCCAATTGACGCCCGACTCGAACACATAACGGTCTGACGACTGGAGCTTCGCGGTGCCTGTGAAGAGGTCGGCAATCATCTGGCAGTCAACTACAACACGCAACCGCCGGAGCCCATCCTGCCAGTAGTGGTCGTCGGGATGCAGGACGGGACATGGCATGTTCTGGAATGTATGGGCATCACCTTGCACGCGCTCTTCCAAGGGATGGCGAAGCGGCCCAGCAAGCGGACTTGGAAGCTGAGGTAAATGCCATAATTTTCAAATTCTGTCTACGAGCTCGCGCCAACCTGAACACCGCGACGTTCTGTCTGAAAACGTGTCCCAGTAGGCCCTCCAACCTTCACCGTAGACAAGAACCAGCGGGGCTTCCCATGATGCAGTCGCTTGCCGGGCGTGGCGTGTACCAACCCTCGCTCGCGACGTTCTCCAAGGGACGTCGATTGGGCCAGCAACAACATGTTCGCAGAGTTGTGTTCCCTCACCCACTTCAGTGGGGCGTCGCCTTAACCTACAATCGTTTGCTTTTCGTCCCAAGCTGCGGCGTGAATAAAACGAAGCACCTGGTGATGAACAACAGGCGCGTTGAATATGCGGAACCAATTGTATATGTTGGAAGCGCTGCGAACGTTGCACTGCATTCTGCTTTCGTCCGGTTTCGGCCGAAACCTCAACATGCGACGCAACCGCTGCAATTCCCATGTTCGAATACGGCCCAAGCTGCGTTGTGAGACGTGCCACGCGCAAGTACCAAAGATTGCAGAAGATACGACCGTCGTCCGCCAAGCCTGGATTCGACTTCCAAGATCACCGTGTGAACGCAGTAACGGGGAGTGCTTGAAATGCGCTGCGTCGGCCTGACCAAGGCCATACTCCATGGAGGTACCGGTGCCCCCTCGTCGATCTAAGGATTCACCTAATACCAAAATGCGCGCCGACTCCTTGTGAGTCATGCTGACACCGGCGTCTGCAATCTCTAAAGGCCCCCCTGGCTGCGTCGTGCCTTCGGAATGCATGTATTCCAAAGACGACGGCTTCCAATGATGACCAATGAGGTTGATGGCGTCAGTGAGCTGCACTACCATGGTCTGGAGTTGGGCGTGCGACGACGAGAAAAGGATGATGTTGTCTGCCCACACTGCGTGGCTAATGATGATGCCGTCGTCGAGGTGCACTCCGCATTCCAATTGACTCCACGCGCGCGCAGCAGGGTCAAGCGCATGTTCGAGCAGCATGTTCTACTCGCTAGGTGTCTCCACTCCTCCCTGTTTCCCGCCTCTGCGGAATGGGAACAGCTTTGTAGACCCTGCTCCAGGTAATGCGAGGAAGGCTTGCAACCCAGACAACTCGTTCAGGGGGAGGGTGGCCATGGCATGACTAGTTCCCCTACCAGTCATAGCAGTTGACAAGCGCTCGTGGCTCATCTCACCAAAAGCTGTTTTGACATCCTGTATTGCGATGTGTACTGGTAGACCCCAGTCGTGTCCGAGGTGCAGTAGCTGCCTAATCATGCCGGTTATGTCGGTCGTCTTGCGGCGCCGCTTGAAACCAAATGCATGTGCGCAAGATGGCCGAATTTGTTGTGAGAGCGTTGGCTGGAGACACCGTATGTACCACTTCTGTAATTCTGGGGACTTCCCTATCCAGCGCATGTTGGAAAGCTCGGTAGCAGATTTGACCTTCGGGATGCCGAAGAACTCCCATATTTTCCAGAACGGGGATTGCCCAGTATCTCGGAAGTTCGCCCTGCCCCAGAACAACTCCCAAACGTGCAATACTAGGATCTCTGGGATCATCTTGTACACGTCCGCCGGAACGCCATCAGGGACCGTTGCGGCTTCCGGCCGAAGAGCAGCTCTGGCGTGGAGGACGTCGAAATACTCAATGTCCACGGGGCGTTCCAGTCCATCGAGCCTGCGATCAACGTGCTGAGCATACACACGTTGCAAACGATGCTGTTCAGAGGTCGCGTCATTCGAATCATCCCGGAAACGACTCCTGCCAAAATCGTGAGCTCCATCTAACCACTGTTCCGGGTCAAGAGTCAAGGCCCCACCAATGTCCACGTAAGTGGGTGTAAACGTGACGCGTGGGGGCCCACGGCAGGGGCCCTGCAGCTTACGACGATTGCGAAGTTGTGTGCGTTTGGCCCTGTTTCGACGCAAACTTGAAGTGCCGTTCAAAAGGTCAGTTGTCGAACTTGGCATGCCGGACATGCTTGTAA